TGTTAGATTCGGGTTTCAAGTTTCTACAAAGTTTTGAGCGTTTTTCAACATCAAGTGAAATAAAAACCAAAACCATATCGTCATTGTCTCTACTTCACGAGTTTTCTTAATACGGATTCTGCGCGCTGCTCAAATCGAGGTAGAGCCCATTCGTGTTGAATTATGTCGAGACCGTCCTTCTCTGCACTCAAGCTCTGTAATGCAATGATTCTTAATCAGGAAAGGCTTAAAGATTGAAATGAGGAAATGTTCAAAAATTTAAAACACAAACTATTTATTTTGGTTACCTTTGATGGATCAAACCCTAACCCACCCATTTGCATCATACGTTGTGTGTCATCAATGGCTGCATAAGAAGCAAAAAAAAAGTATTGCCATTATGACCAAAAACTTGTAAGGTTTAATTTTTGAAGACCGTGGAGCAAAATTTGTTTGTGGAAAACTAACCGTTTTCATCTCCGAGGATGAGACTGAATAAGCCTCTTAATCCAAACAAGTTCAAGAAGTACCTGAAAAGTGAAAGAATAAAGCTCATTAAACAAGCTATTATTAGCATATCAAAAAATCTGGAGAGGACCGAGATATAACATTGAGCCCTTTATGTATTTTGGGTACTTACCACGAACGACTACTCACGTAGCTAACATCGACAGTGCTCAAGTCGATGCCATTCTGTAACATTGATCTGAACCTCTGAGTCAGTGGAAATGGTATTTTGGCTGTAAGATAAACGAAGAAGACTCAGATGCTATGGACTTATAAAACTTGCGTAGACTTAAGAATCAAGGAAGCAATAGCAGCGAAACAGCCAGGTATAAATCAAATTCATGATTGATGTTTATGAAGTGACGAAGAATTCATAATAACGGCAGAAAATTTTATAGGAATTTAACCTGCAACAAATCCAGAGAAGAAGAAGTTGACCCATGCAAAAGTGAGCGTCTGCAAAATGGCAGGTTATGTCAGTTTCCGGTATAACCGATAACGGAAAGAAGAAGATGGAACATTTTCAAATTCCATCGACCTGAGGAATAATCATGGAAAGGTTTTTCTTCATCATATCCATTGCCATGTTAGGATCAGAAAACATTTGAGCTTGTGGATTTGTAGCTTGTCCCTTGGGAACATATAACAAACCATTCTCCTGCAGCAAGCAAACACACATATTTCTCAGCATTCCATATCCAACAGAGGACAAACACTAAGCTAATCAGAAACTATAAAGCTCATAAACCAGTAGATTACTTTGATTTCCCTCAAGCTAAAACTAAGAGACAATTAAAAAGCTTTACTCGTGCGAAGCTACACACAACTAAGAATCAACTATACCGAGCTTAGTGATACATAAACAGTACAACAATTTTCGGTATAGTTGAAAATTGCGTAACCCTTTACGCATTGGAGCTTCCACTAACAGAGCAAAGCAGAACTAAAGCTAGATTTTTGACAAAACAAAGATCTTTCAAGCAAATTAGAGTACTGAAAGAACACAAAAGATCACATAATTTACGTTTCTTTGAGCTAAATCACGAATAAACCACAACAAAATCAAGCTGCAAAGTAATCACACAACTTTTCAAAATAGAATCTTAGAGAAAACAATACCTCGTTGCTAAAGTAGAATCTCCGAGCTCGGAATGATTTCGGCGGGATGAAATTGGCACCGGCTTTTAGATTCCGAGCTCTGATAATAACTTGCCTAGAA